TTTTTTGGTACCAGGGATCGAACTCGGGTCCTTGCGCTTGTGAGGCAGGCGACGGAACCACCGAGCTAAATCCCTGGCCCTCGAGTGGGCTTCTCACCATGTAGCCCCCCAGACAGTATCTCTCACCATTTTTTTTTTTTTTTCCGGTGCTGGGGATTGAATGAGGGCCTTACTACTACTGAGCTACATCCTCAGCAAGGTCTATGCAGTTCAGGCTGGCCTCAAACTCACTATGTACCGAAGGCTGGCCTTGAACACACAATGATCCTTCCGCCTCACTCTCCTGAGTGCTGAGATTACAAACCTATGCCACTACACCCAGCAACGCCTGGGACCCTTTTTTTTTTCTGCACCAAGAATCAAACTCAGAACCTGGCACTTACCAGGCAGATGCTGCACCACTGAGGTACATCCTCGGCCCCTCACAGCTCACTTTTATTTATTTTTTGGTACCAGGGATGGAACTCGGGACCTTACTCTTGCAAGGCAGGTGGCGGGATCACTGAGCTATATCCCCAGCACACAGCTCACTTTTATTTTATTTTTTATTTATTTTTTGGTACCAGGGATCGAACTCGGTTCCTTGTGCTTGCGCAGCAGGCGGTGAAACCACTGAGCTAAATCCCCAGCCCAGCTCACTTTTATTTTTTTTTTAATTTTTATTTATTTATTTTTGGTACTGGGGCTCAAACTTGGGTCCTTGCGCTTTCACAGTAGGCAGCAAGACCACTGAGCTAAATCCTCAGCCCTCCCAGCTCACTTTTAAAACACATGAAGTAATCCCAGCACTCAGGAGGCTGAGGCAGAAGCTCAAAGTGAGCTAGAGCTAGCCTGAACTATATAACAAACCCATCTCAAAAGAACAAAAACACCCACTAAGTAAGTAGATATATATAAATAGCTTAAGTCATTCACATATATTTAACATTAATCAAACTGTAAAATACTGAATTGTTCAGTGAAAATATGAAAGGAAAATTTTATCTAGTATGCTACCATGTATGTGAAGAATACCTCTACATAGTACTTTCAGAATGTCCCCTGGAAGGTCACAGAATAAATCGTCGAAGGCAGTTCTATGGACTACCTGTGTCCAGGGAGACTAGACAGGCTTTCACTGCGCATTCTTTCCTTTCTTCAGAATTCTAACCCATAACCATATCACTACCCCCCGAAAACCTGAAGTGAATGAGAGAAGCATGGTGACAGTAACACTGACAGCCCACTCACTAGGTCCGCACGGTCTCGGAGCACTGGATCTCTGTGTCCTTGTTGGTCCTCCGGACGCCAGCACTATTCACACACCAGCATGTGGCTGTGCCATTGCACTGCTTGGCTTTGAAGAGCCCATGCTCATCACAGTCGGGATCGTACAGTCCGTCATTGTTCTGGATCGCTCCCTCAGGCTTCACTCTCCTCCCAGACTTTGAGTGAGTCATTTCTGCCTTCATCACCAAACATTTGGAAGCCACTGAAAAGCAAAGCTCAGTGTCAAAATGAGAAAAAACTGCAGTTTCATGTGCACAGGGAAACATACTTTTAACTCCTTACTTCCATGCCAAACATTATTTCATACTTCCCTCTTCCCACACTTGATTAGTTGAAGGAGCCTCAGATTGAGATTATTTTGACAAAATAATATGATTCTGATTTGAGCCAATAAGATCTTTCCAAATTCAAGGCACATCAATTAAGAAACTATAATCAAGGGCTGGGGATTTAGCTCAATGGTTTCGCCACCTGCTGCGCAAGCGCAAGGACCCGAGTTCAATCCCTGGTACAAAAAAAAAGAAACTATAATCAAGATAAATTTTTAAAGGGATGGGGATTTGGCTTAGCGGCACAGTGCCTGCCTGGCAAGCACAAAGTCAAGTTCAATGCCTAATACAAAAAAAAAAGATAAATTTAAAGGCAGTAAGAATACTCACGAGTTGTGCAAATGACAGGATTCTGTGTACCATAGGAGGTACACTGGCATTGACCATCTCCGTTCAAAAAACAGTTTGTGGTCATCCTGTAGTTTTCACAGTCACATCCTAGAAAATTAAAGTTTATATATTTGAAAATGTGGATCCAATTCTGAACTCTGATGTCCCTGCTAAATTATGTTCTGATAATACTGCCCAAGTTAAAGGGACACAAAGCCTTTAAAAGTGGTCCTGAGTGTTTTTTCACCTGTAACTTAAGTGTTTCCTAAAGGCAGGCAGCTGTAACTTACCTGCCTGGCACTTGCTAAACAGTCTGCACACATCACATAGACACATGGTCTGATGTGTATGCATCCCAATTTTTTTTTTTTGGCAGTACTGGGGATCAAACTCAGGACCTTGCACTTTCAAGGCAGGCATGGCACCACTGAGCTAAATCCTGGGGCCTCCCATTTAAATTTTGATAAACAAGTTTGAAAAAAATGTTTGTGGACATTGGACTCAAGATCCTACATGTGGGGGCCGGGGATTTAGATCTGGTTTCACCACCTGCTGTGCAAGTGCAAGGACCTGAGTTCGATCCCCAGTACCAAAAATAAAACCAAAAAAACAAAACATAATGACAAAAGGGTCAATCTATCAAGAAGATCCTATATGTGTTCTTTACCACTGAGCTGCACCCTTCCCAACAGTGTTTGTAATGCAACCCTGCAAAGGTCATCACCGGCTCTGCCTCTTTGAAATGCCCACAACCTTCAGCTCTTTTCCTCCTCTGCCCTGTAGGTACACCTGCCTCTTTTCCAGAAAAAAAAATCAGCAGGTCTAATTCTAGGACCTTGAATTCACAGGTCCCTTCTCTCCTCTACCTTTTTTTTTTTGAGACAGAGTCTCACTATGTAGTCCAGGCTGGCCTCAAACTCACAGCAATCCTCTTGCCTCAGCCTCCTAAGTGCTAGGATGACAGGTGTGCACCATCATGCCCAGCTTTTCTCCCCATTTCCTTAACAGATACTTCCTTTGTAGATTAGTAGGAACATACTGACCTGTAGAAGATTTTATATCTTTCATTATACATACTTTAGACTGAATTTGAGGGTATCTTTATATGTTTCCTAATTACATCAAATTTTAATGTGATTTTTAAAGTGATACTAAACACCTATTCTAAGTATTAATATAATGTCAACTCAAGAGTTTTATTCTTTACTACCTCAAAAGTTCATTTTAACTTCAAATTGGCAAGATTATATCTCTCTTATCTGGGGATTTAGTCCAGAGCCTTCATATTGAGCTTTTTTAAAATTTTGAGACAGGGTCTAAGTCGCTAAATTGCCCAGGCTGGGCTCAAACTTGCAATCCTCCTTCTTTAGACTCTCATATCGCTGGTATTACAGGCTGGTACCATCAAGAGGAAAGAGTGCTTTTTATTTTTAGGGGGAGGTTTTGGTTTGCTGAGACAGGGTCTCGCTACGTAGTTCAGGCTGGCTTTGAACTCACAGCGATCCTCCTGCCTGCCTCAGCCTATAGAGTGCTGGGATTACAGGTGTGTGCCACTATGTCCCATAAAGAGAGTGCAATTATTTAAAAAAAAAAAAAAAAAGAACACAAAAAAACCTAGCAGGACAGTTCAAATGGTAAAGGGAACAAGGGTGGGGGAAGGGAGGACAGGAGAAGAAAAAAAGAAAACACGGAAACAAAGCTTTTATAAATACAGAGGGGAAAGAAGGTTGAAGGGAGGAGAAGGGATTGGAGGAAAAAGAATCAAGATATATTATGTACCGGTATAAATTCCCTATGATGAATGTGTTCTTATGTATATCAAACATGTACTAATAAAATTAATTTTTAAAAATAGCATGACAAATCAAAGAATTTTTATATTGATCTTTTGTTAACTTATGTATCCTAAATTGGCTTTAAATTTCGTTTACACTGCAATTTTTTTTCTTTTTTGTACCGGGGCTCGAACTCCGGTCATTGAGCTTGTGCAGCAGGCAGCGAAGCCACTGAGCTAAATCCCCAGCCCTACACTGCAATTTAAGAGAAAGTATTTAGTCTCAGATTCAAGCCAGAAAATACGAGCCGATTAAACCTCATTACTTTGAAAGTGTAATGAATGTAGGCTTCCTCCTGTTAGTGCGAGTATAAAAGCTTTTCCAGAGAGTTTGGACCAACTCTCTCCACTTCTAGGTACCTCCTTACAAATTAATTAAAAGGGCCATAGCCGAAGGGTCTATTTCAGAATAAGAAGTGGAATCAAACGACTTTTTCTTTCCCTTTTTTTTTCTTTTTTTTTTTTGAGTGTCTTTGCTACATAGGCTAGGCTGGCCTTGATTCCACAGTAATCCTCCTGCCTCAGCCTCCTGAGTGCTAAGATTGCAGGTGTGCACCACAGTGTCAGGCTCTAAAAGTGTTTTTAAAGACTAAAGGAAATGGAAAATTCTGGACGTTATGCAGGCGGGAAAAATTAAAATACAAACCTACATGTTTAGGTTAGGACAGTGTTTAGAACAATGTCTAAAAGAAAAATAGACCCATTTATTAACTTTGGGAATCTCGAAGTGGTAGAATTATAAGATTTTTATTCCCTGCGGTTATCTTTAGTCCCATGTCCCCTACGATTAACCTGGCATTACTCATGTTTCTTAGCAAAAAGAAACCCAGGTGCGGAAGTGAGGTCCCGGGGGCCAGATTCCCGCGCGCAGGTGCGCGGAGTCCGCCAAGCCACCTGCTCCCGCCCGCTGGCACATCCGGGGCCAGACGGTCAAGGCGCGGCGCAGTCGCCTGGGAGGGATCTGGAGCCCCAAGTCGGTGCGCCCGGGAAGGAGGCGCGGGCCCTGGCCGCCGGACCCCGAGGTGACCACTCGGGTGGCCGCCTGCGCTCCCGTCCCTGGGGCCTGCCTGGGAGCGGCTTCTTCCCCGCAGCCCCGTCCCTCCCCTCTCCACGGTGCCGGCCCGGGCCCCCAGGCCGCCGCCCCCCCCACCCGGCCCCGCCGCACCTCCCGCTCCGAGCCCTCACCTTCCTGGGCCGTGCCCACCGCCGCCGTCGCCGCCAGGATCAGGAGCCCGAACGCGAGGACCTGGGAAGGCGCCATGCCGCGCGCCGAGGGGCCCGGGAAGGCAGGGGTCGCGCAAGCCGTGAGAGGTGCGGACTCAGGTGCGCACTCGCCGGCGGGCTGAGCTCTCTGGACCCGGCGCCAGGCCAAGTGTGGACCTGCCCGGCCTGGCACCGCCCCTTGGCACCGCCCGCTGCGCACCTCGGCCCTTGGGGCGGGGCCGCCGAG